GGAAACAAATTTCAGAGCAAAGAATTGTCTGGAAAAAAAAGAAAACAGCTTTTTTAAACGTTGTTTTCCAAGCCTTAAAAGGCTCTATAAAAATTCAAGGATATTACTGTGCCCCCGAGATCTCTTTTTCATCGAAAAAGTTGAAGGTTTTTAAAAAGCTGACGTTTGCGGGACTTTGTTTGTTTGTTGCATGGGTTTAAAAAAAGTTTGAAGGTATATAATATCCGAGTTGTGTACACAATCAACTTCAAGCATGATCACACTTACGAATATAATATCGGAGAAGAAGGACCGTAAAGAAAAAGAATCGATACAGTATAAAAGAGTGGTTACTTTCTCAGCTTTTAGCGGAGGTATTCCGAAAGTTTGTACAGAGGTTTTGTAATAATATCTAATGTAAATTTGAAGGACTAGTATACCGCGTGAACCTTACACTCTGCTGCAATTCTATAATATATAAATCAAGGTTATGTTCTTGTACAGCAAATTCAAGACTTGTAGCTCGCTCTATGCAAAAGAAGCCGTGATTTTAAAGTCAATGGTTGAATAGTTTACTTGGAGATCTCTCAAAAAAAATTTGCTTTGTTTTAACGGTTTTATCCTAAGAATCGAATTTTGCAGCTGAAATATACGCACAAAGAATGAATTTTTTAAAAATTCATAAAACACAAAAAAGCGTTTGCCTGCAGTTTGCATTGTCTCCGGTCTGCAAACTACACTTTTCAAAAGTGCTAGTCTTTTCTCGCGGAGCACGGTGCATATTGCTTCTTTTAGAACTGTGAAAAAAGCGCAGCAACGCAATTGACAAAAAACCAAGCGATTATCGAATTTCACAGTGCTAAAGTGAAATGCACAGTGCAAAGAAGTTTGTGACAAAAATTCGACGAACTTTTGAAAAAAACGTAGTATCTCAGCTACCATCGCAACTTACTGGACAAAATTTTCTATAATTAATTTTTATCCTATTGTGACAGCTCACACAGAATTTGAAGGCAATCGCAAAGTCGCCGGCTAAGATATCGTTGAGCTTTGTCAACGGCCAAAAGCCTCTTTTTTGTGTTTGTCAACTCTTATCTTACCGTAGCCCCTCCAATTTTCAAAAACATGTTTCCCCGACAGCTGGGAAATTTACTTGCAACAAAACACAGAATGTTTCAAGTCCGTCATTAATTTTGACAGCCATACATTTTTTGACATGTACACCAAGTCATCCGCCCACCGAAAAACTGAAAAAGACAAGTGCAAAACACAAGCAGAAATAACGAATACATATGTGCCATTACATCAAAATAAATCCATAAAGAAGGAATTAATGGCTTGAATTATGGCTAGTATTCGACCCGCACTCGGAATTACCCAAAATTTCGGAATTAGAAAAGATGCCATAGAAGGAATTAAACGGGATAAATCAAAACCGAACCCGAAAAAATATAATAAACAGGCGTTCTACGGCATTATAAGAAATCAGAGACCAGCGCGTCTACGACTTCGGAAATCCTTGTCGTGACTGTCCAAGTGACTTCCGTCGACGAGAAAATTGCTAAACTTTCCCTACATTATATACATAATACGTTCACTAAATCGTGTTTTCAGCGGACAAATCGGCTTTGTAAACTATCGTGGAGACAAAACCAATATAACAAATTGCTAGCTGGAAAACTATACAATTATTCTAATCTTAAGTAGGGTTGGCGCTTTGTTACGAATTTATTTTTAGTTTGCTTAACAAAAGAGATATCAGATGGGAGCGGGGAGATCGAATTTGATGACACATGCCGCAAGAGTACCTGGGAAGATATGTAGTTGGATCCAGTAAATTTCAAGGAGATTTTAAGTCATCATTTTTGCCGGTGATCCAAAGACTCGTTACGGTCAAAATTTCTCTGTCAGCCTCTCCGATTTCCTACAGTCTCTCCTCTGCAAAGACTGCTAAATATGTCTGCTGCTCCTACAAAACATGAGCTAAATTTTCAGCCAGCGATATGTGACCTATACGAAAAATTTTCCCCAAGATCTCAAAAAATTCTAACCGTCGAACTTTGGATAACTTCCTTGTTGAAATTCTCAATAGTCAGCAAAAACTGGTCGTCCAAGCTATTCAAATTAAAACGTTCTCCTCGCCGAAATACGACACCTTCAACCTCCCTTCGCTCAACACTGTGACAGCGCCAAATAGGACGACGGGAAACACTAAATGAGAAACGAGCTGAGCGCTTGAGTGCAATTGTACTTCATAAAGCGAACACATTTCGGGGCGCGCCTTCCATTGTTTTTTTCCAGGACGGCATTCTTCTTTTTTGTTTCATTGGCCCTGAAGAGAAGAGCCATGCATTTCCTAATATCTTTGAAAGACATCAAAACGTTGGGGGCTGGAGTGTTTGTGCGGCTTTGAGAAATCATTGAGCATATTGCAAAGAAATTGCAATAAGCCAAGAAAATGTAGGCCTAAGAAAATTGAATGTAATGTAAAAAAGTATTGTACATAAAATACTGGTTAAACGCACGTTTATAGCCAAAAGCTAACCTAGGCGAGGAGAAGGGCGCTTCAGACTACAACCACAATTCCAGCTACTTCTTGCGGTCGTTGTAAAAGTTCCCACACGCAAGCTAACTTGCTCCTACACTTTCGAAATGAAGACAAAAACCTCACCCCCTCGTCCCCGACTCTTACGCAAAACAGAATTACTTATTGTATGGAGTCATGTCGAAAGCCAAGCCCCTCAGCAGCGCTGCTGAACTTTTGCGGAAATTTTTGCACCCTACGTGTAGTAAGGAAAGTATATTTGAAATTTTGTTGCTGTGATCAAATTTCTAGTTCATATTTTGCAGGAAAAACGGAAGAATTTGCAGACTAGAGAGTACAAAGATTGAGGAAAGATGGTCATAGAGCAAAGAACCTTTTTTGGTACTTCATGAATCGAAAAACAAGATTTTGGGATTTTCCGACCCAAAAATCTCAGTGTATGCAAAGCCAAAGCTAAAAATCTTCAAATTCCCCTAGAAAATCTTGACCTCAACCTTCTACAAGTCTTGTAAAAAATGGAGTGTGGAGTGCCCCCAACTCTCCATACAAACAAACATCGAACCCACTCAGACTCGAATCATCGGAAAATAAACCTCGTTTCCATCGACGTTCCCTCCGAGTATTTATTTTCGGGATTTGCGCTCCAATTACATTTGGACGGCAACTACTTTTCCGAGGTTAGAGTTCCCGGCAATGTTCGTGGGAAAGACGAAGGTCACAAATGGATTTGGAGACTTTTTTCGAGCTGTTTTTTGTAGAAGAACACACGGATGCGACATTCGAAGGCTGGGAAAGAATAATGATATGGCCAGTGTAGTTTACTCAGCTTGTTAAATACTGCAAAAGCCTCTTACACTACGAAAATAGGGCAGGAAGGATAGACTTTACTTAAGGAGACTTATTAAAAGAATTTTTTTAGTTGCAAATGTCATCAACAATTGTACAATGACCCACTCAAACCACAAAAAATCAAAATACATGTGCTGCGGGCTGTGTGTCCGAGATATTGAATTTCCAGACACTGCAAACAGCCTTAAAACCACTCACTATCGTTGATGACATTTTGACTTAATGTTGGTAATGTTGCATGCCATTAGGACAACGTTTTATGCAATTTTAACAAGCCGGAAAGCAGTATTTAGCTTAGCATTTTTCGGAGTTATAGGCTCTTTATTCATGATGATTAAAAAATTGAAATGCGGATACCACAGTTGCCAAAGTTCAAAAAAATCGAATCTCTTGGTCTTTTCTACTCCGCTACAGTTCCCCTGCTCCACCCGCCTCCGTAAAAATAACGAACCCCAAGTTCCTAGGGCTTAATTTCGCTGATAAAGTGCCCGCCATTCTAATTTCGGGGCCGGGGTTGTGGCGCGAGCTTAAAGCGTTCCCGAAATGAGAATTCTTCCCGTGGGAGCGGCCGGAACGAGGGTTGGAAACTCAAGAGGTTTAAAGGCCCCAATTTCGGATAAATGTCATGGCTGATAAGAACGGCCGTAAAAGACATCTTCATTTGACGTGGTGCGTCACGAGAGGCGAAGAAATTGAGACTTTATGGGATTCGGGAGCGGCACGAGGTTTCTGAATGAAGGCATAGACGAGTGGGCAAAAATGGCGGGCGTTGAAATTGTAGGGCCCAAAGCAGAATAAAATACGGTATATCTTACCTAAAAATATACAATAATTTTAGTCATGATATCTCTGTTCGAACAATGTTTCCAAAATTGGTTATAACGAATGCCATTTTTAGAGTCACCAATTCCGAAGAAGGCTCTAAAATTTGTTTTGACGAGTTCTCAGCTCCTTTCCAGCTCAACTGTCGTATAGCGTAACAATTAATCTTTTTCTCACGATCCCAAATGCCATGAATTTTAACGGCTGAATTAATCTCCGGACTGAGGAAACAGCTTACGTCAAAACGGGGAAACCCGTGACGTCTTTGATTTACATAAACCTACAGTAATTTCAGCGGCCGCTTGTGGAAAAAAAAGCGACTCAAGAGAAGGATAAGAGCTCAGAATCAAAGAAAATCGAACTCCAAAGCTCGTGCAGGAAAAGGAAAAATTGAATTAAAGTTCAATGCAGGAAATGTTGAGAGGGAAGTGTGATACTCCAATATTTATGATGATTGAAGCTCGAACGGAACATTTGGCCACGCGTCATCGACTTATTTCTGAAGATTGGAGAAAAACGGTGCCTTAACCCGATTAGGCCTGATTGGGTTAAACGAAAAAAGTAAATTGAAAATGATGAGTGGGGTTGTTTTGGGATAAATACGATTACCGTTTTTATTTGAGAGATTAAAGAACCCCGCAGATTCAACAACGTTTGAAAAGATGTTGCGTTGATGGAAAAATTCAATAAGGTTAGATGGAAACAACATATGTGACAATAAAGATGAAAAAAGTTGAAAAGGAGACTTGTGAACTGAAGTTGCTGAGACTTTCAGCCTGAAGTTTCTGAGACTTTCAGCAGCGGTATGTATGACTTTGAGAAAAGCAATGATTTTTGTAAAGTGGAGACCAGCAATTGTAAGCTATCTTGCGCAGTGTCTCGTCAAAATATCTAAACTCATCTTGTTATGCGCCGTTTAATTCATTCATACTGTAACGCCATCCTTGTCTTTATTTTAATTATTCTAATCTGTCTGTCTGCCTCATCTTCTCTTTCATCCATATCCTAATTTTTCCAGAGGCCTTTCCTCAATTCGGATAATGCCAAATCTTCACGTCCTTCAACTACCGTAGGACTTTCTAGGGGTTAATAAACACAAAACATCGCGACTATCTTCCCCTTGTCGAAAAATGGAAGGGAGCAAACTTAAAGCCCAATAAATCCGGCATTTGATTGGTTTCCCTTTAACGCCATCCGAAGCCATACAACTCCCGAGCTAAATTGAGGCAAAAACGTCTTTGCCTTATATTATGACAGTTTGCGATTTTTGAGGAAGGTGCGGGGTTTTCGGGGCTTTCAAATTTTCTATTGCTTATAATTTTTAAGTGTATGATAAAATAAATTTTTGGTAATTACAGTTTTATTTTCAGCCGACCCGGTCAATGTCATCAAAATGGGGGAGTTGGCAGCCTTGAATTATCAGCTTATAAATCGAATATATCCCATCAGGTAAGAATACGGCGAATTGCTCTGAAATTCTTCAATTTCAGCAAAGCTCAATAGAAATATGGACTTTGAAAAACTCGAAATTTTATAAGGTTGTGATTGCTTCGTTATGGAAATCTATTGAAATCAGAAAATTACAGGAAATACGTTCTGTTTGCCTCGGTTGCCTTCATTGTTCTGTCCTTCCTCATCATTCTCGAAAGCGCGTTCATCTTGACGTCAAATCACACAATAAAGTAAGGAAGCCCTGGTTGAAAACACGACGCCTAGCTAGGACAATACATTCTTTCAGCCATTGAATTGACTCGCCAATTCAATTTCAAACACTAAATTGCCTATTTCAGCAGCCCCTTTCTAATCATCTTCTCCTATCTTTTGGCATGGCTGTTGATTCTTTTCGGAGTTGTCGGCCTGAAATACGGGTGCTTGTCAGCATCAATTGTCAACACAGCCCCCACAATTCAGACTGAACGACCAACTTCGCCGGCAATTTGGATCACCGGGACTCTAGCGCAGCCCCAAGAAGAAGGTCTGAATATCCCGGGAATGGTGCCAAATCTCTTGCCAGGCTATCCTGCCCCACCTCCGCGATATTCTTCGCTGGGAATCAACGAACCGCCAGTTCGATCCAAGAGTTTTCGCATACCTCACAGCGCACACGGCTTGAGAAGCCCACCTCCATCATACCCAAGGCATTCGATTGTGTAAAATGATATCAGTTGTTATATCAGGACAATTTAATGTGGGGATTTAGGCTTTCTATTTTGGACAGAATTTCTTTACGAATCCCTCGGAATGCAATGAAAATCTGATAAATGTTTACGAGGAATAGAAGGAAGTCTTGCAGGCAGAACAAAAGCACAGTGAAAAAGTTGACAGCTGAGTCAATTTGGAAGTCCGATAGCAAAAGTGCATGGTAATGGCTTATTTTACTCTGAACTCGTGTATACATTTCTTACTTTATTTCTTATTCTTTACAAAGATCTCAAATTAGTCAGGTAAGTCCGTTGATTTGGAAGGGTTCTCATTCCAAGCCAACAACTATTGAAGATGCATTTCCGGCATTGAAGAACATCAAACTTTTCGGAAGTTGTCTTGCGTTCAATCTGATCCACCAGTCGGTCAAAACAACGCTTGTCCTTGACTGTTATCGAACCAGTTATGTTCTCACCTGCATGCAGACCAAAACCACTGCAAAAGCAGATGTTAAAATTATCGTTGGTCAAGAATTGCTTTTAATTATCGAAAATTAACGGTTTAGGGTTTCTTTTCCTCTGCACTCTGAAGTAGGTGCAAAATTTGAAACATTTTTGCGAATAGTAATTCACTAAAAAGCTTACCCAACGCAGCTTCTCTCCGGAATATTCGTATAGAAATCCCAGTAGCCACTTCCAGTGGCTCTTCGGCGATAAAGATTAAACCAGCTAGTGTCATGTCTGATCTGTAAGTTTCCAATACGATACCATCCTTTCGGCAACTTTCTGTCCAAAATATCATTGTCTTTTTCTTGCTCGGTTGCAACTTCAGAATTCGGAGGAATATGAGTCTCACAGGTTACAGTACTAAACAGAAACAGCTTTTGTTGAAATTTATTTAAATTACTGTCAGAAGCTGTAATGCTCATTAAACATGTCAGCAATCTGCTTACCCACAAGTAATCTCGTTGGTGTTTCGGTAATATGTGCAGTAAACATTTCTGAAAACAAATATCACAAACCAATACAAACCGCCGAGCAAAGAGGCCAAGAAAACGAAAATAAAAGCCAACTTACTCAGCATCGACAACTGGAGTAAAAATTATCAAGATCAGTAATATTTGTAACATAGCGATTCTTGTTTAGTTCAATAAAGCTTGAAGAAACTGAGGAACGCCGTTTATCGAAAGAGGTTTGAAAGCCGGCTCCTCACCTCGCAGGTAGCTCCGTTTCCCAAAAAAGCCCTTTTCGTATCTATTCCGTCAAGGTTACTCAGAAATAGAGGGAATAGAGTCAAATGAAGATCAATATGAGCTTAATGTCAGGTATTGTGTTTAAACCCGGTTAAACAAATGATGAGAGAAGACAACAAATGAAAAAACCACCCCACTGGAAGTAAACACCGGCAATAAACGTTGCATTTAACTATCAACTCAGTTTTAAAAGGTTTACATAAAATTTTCCAGTTTTCGAATGGTCAAAAAGTGCCCAAAAATGGTGTGGATAGGGGATAAATTTAGGCCAACTTATGTATTTTTATCACGGGGCTATATGATCCACCCTTTCATGTAAATTATTTAGCAGAAACCGTTGAAAGCGAAAATTTTCCGCAAAAAACGTCCATTTGCCTAGTACAACATCGCATGACATCCGGAAATCATAAAATTATTTGCGGAATTCGTCAAAACGAGTCAATTCTCTCTTCCCCGTAAAAAATAAATTCAAACTCCCATTTCGTCAACGTTGCCCCAAGGAAGAAACACTTGACTCCTCAAACGGACAAGTCTTCTTCTCATTTCCCCTTTGGAAAAAAGTAAAATATTTATCTACTTTGTACTTCAATTATGCAGATTTAGAGCCGGAATTTCGATTTCCGGCGTTGTCATATTTTCATTCATTCATTCGCGCTAAATTTTGGTCGGTTGGGAAATGCTGCTGGTTTCTCGTGGAGACTGCGTGGGCAAAAAGGCTGGAGTTGCTGAGGACCAGAAAAAGGTGAGTATAGTGTTTTTTGTGATTTGGTGTTTTTTAAGCGTCTTGATGAATAGAGAAATTTAATTTTTTTTTTTTTGTTAGTTTAGAATGATTTTGTGGCATTCTTGCTTGGTTATATCACGTAACCTCTCGTAATTTTAGCGCCAAGACCGTGAGCGGCAAAAGAAGAAAGAGCCACTACTCAAGCAAAATCAATGGCTGATCCAGGGAGAAGTCAGAATCTTGAAGATGATTGGAAGCGGAGGATTTGGGCAGATCTACGAAGCCGTCGATAAGCAAGGAGTTACCATGGCTGTCAAGGCCGGCGAAAGAAACACGAAGAATGCTCCAAGAATGGTGTTGGAGCAATTTTTACTCCAAAGAGTCAGCAGCCACAAGAATTTCCCCCAATTTGTAAGTTGTTTCTTATTTTTGTTTGTGTTTTTTTCGGTAGTTCACAATTCCTTCTCGATGAAAGCTTCACAATTTTCAAGAATTTTTTGATTTTTCCATCACTTTTTGAAAAAATCGATATTATTTTATGTGTTTTATTGAAAATTATTTTAAAATTTTCCCGAAAACGACTTATTATTACCTAAAATTATATCTCAGCTTTTTTAATGTCGAATAATCTGTAAATATTATATTTTCAGTTCCGCAGCGGCTCTACGGACAATATCAATTTCATTTGTATGGAACTCTTGGGACCCAATCTTCATGAGCTCCGAAAACTTCGAGAAGACAAACGTTTCAGCCCAAATACTGCCTTCCAAGTTGCTTGCCAAGTTACAGATGCCTTGAGAGTCCTTCATAATGGTGGCTATATACATCGAGATGTGAAGCCGTCAAATATGTGTGTCAGCCTTCAAGAACCGAAAACGGTGGTTCTGGTGGATTTTGGGTAAGATTTTGGTATTATTTTTCTTTCTTTAGGCTTCAAAGATGATGGGGATGCTTTTTTGAGGCTATTTAGGACACCTTGAAGGTGTTGTAGGGGATCTTTTTGAAAAAAGGTGACTTTTTTGCGCCGAATATACCTTTTGTTACCTAAAATAAGATCCGATTGCTGAAAATTGGTGTTTTTGCGGGGAATAATGGCATTTTTGAGTCTCGTGAGAAATATTGTGGTAGTTGAGAGCTCTTGCAATTTGGTATTTTCAATTTTCTTTGCAGCTTTCCATTTTTATATTACTTTACTTTTTTTAGCCTGTCCCGGCGATACCTCCAACCCAATGGAGATCTCCGACAATTCCGGGAGTATGCAGGCTTCCGAGGAACTGCCCGTTACGTTTCGCCTCGCGTCCATGAACATCAAGAGCACACTGTGTGGGACGATTTTTGGGGTCTCTGCTATTCGATGATCGAGATGATTGACGGCCAATTACCATGGAGAAACCAAAGCGACCACAAGGCCCTGTACCAAATGAAGATGCAGTATATAAAGTATATCGAGTGTAGAGGATCGACTTGTATTCGCCAGTTACTCCACTACTTGAAGAATGCGAAAGCAACTGATCGAGTTGACTACAACAGATTCAAGAAATTTATGAAGCATGCGATTGATCCGGAAGAGCCATTGGACTGGGAGAGCGATTACTTAACTACTGAAGACAGCACGGCGGAAACTTCAGAGGAGGAGAGCCGTGAATATTGAGAAGATGTGCCAAGGAGAAGGTAAAAAGATCTCAGGGATTTTTTAAAAGTAAATATTGTTATCATATGTATTTTGAATTGCTATGAAGGCTAAATTTTAATCTCTTAAAGTCCTGTCTTGGACTTTTGTCTAATTAAAATATGAATTTAATATAATCATTTATATGTTATATCATCTAATAAATATTGTTATAAAACTTGTGGATAGTTTTTGCTTGGAGTTTGGGATCAATAATTATCGAAGAATAAGGGGTTTTGGGGTTTATCTCGCGTTGTTTGTCATGGATAATGTAAAACTAGTAAAAATTTCTTGCTTTTTTGATGAGAAGTCGGTGAGTAAGGGGATAATAACAAGTCGTGATTGTATTTCTGGGCTCTCTCAGTCTGATAGAGTGGTTAAAAATTGATTTGGACTTCCGAATTAAAAAACTATAAATCCAGAAAAAATTGATGACGCATGATGAAAGTCGTTGTTAAATGGATGTTGAACCGGCAATAAAAGGATTAATTTCCCATAATATTGCATTATATTCCTTGCTGCAGGCATATTTCATCTTAAATCGACCGTTTGAGAAAGAAAACAACTTTAGTCATCATGGATAATATAATTTGGACGTTTTTCTGGACGTTTTATAAAAATTGGACATGGTTTACCCCTATCAAGTCCTTGAAAGCCTCGTTTATAATCCCACAGATTTTGAGGACTCCTGCGCGTTCAATAAACAACAAACTTTTCCAAAAAAAAAGAAACAACAAAGAGAGCCGGCGAAAAAAAGAGCCCGAAGACTTCGGGAGACGGCCAGAGAAGAGACAAACGGACAAAAGAGAGGGCAAAGCCGACTCCCCTGAGCCGTTGGGAGAGAAGCAAATGGGGGAAAAGACCTTGACGACCGCCAGAAAACCCCCTTTTTGCATCCGTTTCTCGCCGACTTTTTTCGCGAGAAATTGCTTTATTCAAGGAAATTCGGCGGTTTTCGAACGTTTTCTCTCCTTACTTGGCCACAATCTTGATAAAATACTAGACAATCTGTCTTACCTCACAGCATTCCGAACTTTTTTCGCCACCGATCGGTGTCGAAAAAAAATCGAAAAATCGAGAGAGGGGTATGCATTTTTTTGTGTTGCCGGCTAGCAAAGGCAGGTATTGCAAAATGAGAAAAAGTGTTTGATACTCTGAAGACTACTCATTTTAATTATACAAAAATTGTCACCATGCACTTTGTAACCCCCGAAAAAATCGCATTCGAAAAAATGAAAATTTCAAATTTAAATCCAATGAAAATGCACTTTCTAGTTGACTACTGAAGAAAAAAAAGATGCTATCGTGTAGAGAATTTCGAGTACTTCCTAATACATATATCTTTTTGCGTTGTTTTCTAACAGTTTTAGAGCTACCGTGCAAAAACGCCTTTTTTGCACTTTTTCCGACTTATCTGCACTTCAAATGCAAAAATGCAAAATCTTCCGAGCAATTATCATTCTGGGCATCCTTGTGGATATGCATGCCAAATTTCAAATTTCTGCGATGCTTCTGTCTGCTGATATATCGAAATCATTACGAAACCTTGACAACTTATTAGCGCGGCTTGAAATATAAATTTTGTGACATTTTCGATAAAAAGTCGTTATATGTACTCTATTTGTGAATTTGAAGGTATTAGCTTGCGTTTGGACCGCATTAACGGGAATAGAAAAAGCTGCACTTGTGTATGAAATCTACATTTTTCATGATGACATGAAGCTGTCTCATAAACTGTACGAATAACATTCGGGGTTGGAAAAATATATTTTAGGAAGAAATAAGGCTATCCTACACTAAAACAGCAAGCTTTCTATGTTTTTCTTCGGGAACTTAAGTTGTCAAGGTTTCGTAATTATATCGATATAACAGGAGACGGGAGCGTCGTAGAAATTTGAAATTTGGCACGTTTATCCACAAGGATGCCAAGAATGATAATTGCTCGGAAGATTTTGCATTTTTACATTTAAAGTGCAGATAAGTCGGAAAAAGTGCAAAAAAAGGCGTTTTTGCAAGGTAGCTCTAAAACTGTTAGAAAACAACGCAAAAAAATATACGTATTAGGAAGTACTCGAAATTCTCTACACGATAGCATCTTTTTTTTCTTCAGTAGTCAACTAGAAAGTGCATTTTCATTGCATTTAAATTTGAAATTTTCATTTTTTCGAATGCGATTTTCTCGGGGGTTACAAAGTGCATGGTGACAATTTTTGTATAATTAAAATGAGTAGTCTTCAGAGTATCAAACACTTTTTCTAATTTTGCAATACCTGCCTTTGCTAGCCGGAAACACAAAAAAATGCATACAAGAAGGGTGCGTTATATTATTCCAAAAAGTTTCAAACTTACTTCATTTTTAGCCTACATGAAATTTTTGTTTTTTTTTAATCTAGGCAAAAAAAAAATAATTTTTTTTTGGCATAGGTGGTTTTTTTTCATGTGGGCAAAAAAAAATAATTTTTTTTTGGCATAGGTGGTTTTTTTTCATGTGGGCGAATTTTTTTTTTTTTTTTGCATAGGTGGTTTTTTTTTCATACGTCAGTCTGTCGGGAAAGCAACGGCGGATCGTCGCGCCTCGGAATCGCCCATCATCACTTTGCGACGGCGAAGTTTGTGATCTCAGAAATTGGAAAGATGAAGAAATGGAAGTAGGCTAAAACCGAGATTTTGGCCTAGTTCATGCAGTCGGTGAAGTCGGTGAAGATGTAGGCCAAAACCGAGATTTTGGCCTAGTTCATGCAGTCGGTGAAGATGTAGGCCAAACCGAGATTTTGGGTTTTGGCCTAGTTGATTAAATCGAAGTTGATTAAATCGAACTAGGCCAAAACCATGATTTTCGCCTACTTCCTACCCGCTTGGATGAACTAAGCCAAATCCACGTTTCCGCCCAGATCATAGAAAATCCTAAAACAGGTGGAGTTATATATCCAAAAATTCGCAAAATTTTTCTGATTCAGAATATGTAAAAATTTGTTGCCTAATTTTGGTTTGAAAGGGTGAAAAATTCCTCAAACCTTTTCTCGCAACACCATGAAAATCCCTTTTTGACCAAGTTTTTACCAATAAGAAAATAAAAATTCAATGGATAAATGTGTCTTGCCCACAGCAATTTCGCGTCACGGCACGAAAATAATTTTTTGGCATTCTGTTCAAGAGGCGTCCTTTTACCAAATCAAATGCTTGAAAAAACATTGCGAAATCAACAACTTGTTTACCAATAGGACGCCTCTTGAACAGAATGCCAAATAATTATTTTCGTGCCGTGACGCGAAATTGCTGTGGGCAAGACACATTTATCCATTGAATTTTTATTTTCTTATTGGTAAAAACTTGGTCAAAAAGGGATTTTCATGGTGTTGCGAGAAAAGCTTTGAGGAATTTTTCACCCTTACAAACCAAAATTAGGCAGCAAATTTTTACATATTCTGAATCAGAAAAATTTTGCGAATTTTTGGATATATAACTCCACCTGTTTTAGGATTTTCTATGATCTGGGCGGAAACGTGGATTTGGCTTAGTTCATCCAAGCGGGCAGGAAGTAGGCGAAAATCATGGTTTTGGCCTAGTTCGATTTAATCAACTTCGATTTAATCAACTAGGCGAAAACCCAAAATCTCGGTTTTTGCCTACATCTTCACCGACTGCATGAACTAGGCCAAAATCATGGTTTTGGCCTAGTTCGATTTAATCAACTTCGATTTAATCAACTAGGCGAAAACCCAAAATCTCGGCTTTGGCCTACATCTTCACCGACTGCATGAACTAGGCCAAAATCTCGGTTTTAGCCTACTTCCATTTCCTCATCTTTCCAATTTCTGAGATCACAAACTTCGCCGTCGCAAAGCGATGATGGGCGATTCCGAGGCGCGACGATCCGCCGTTATTTTCCCGACAGACTGATATGCCAAAAAAAAAAAAAAATTCGCCCACATGAAAAGAAACCACCTATGCCAAAAAAAAAAATTTTTTTTTTCGCCCACATGAAAAAAAACCACCTATGCCAAAAAAAAATAATTTTTTTTTGGCCCACATGAAATTTTTTCACCTAGGCAGACCAGATTTTGAAGTAGGCCACAAAATTTCATGTAGGCTAAAAATGAAGTAAGTTTGAAACTTTTTGGAATAATACAGTGCGTCCCAGGTTTTTGGTTCCACCCCATTTTTTGATCATATCTCGGGGTGTTTTTCTCAAATGCCATGAAATTTTACACAAGTGTTAACCAACCTTTGAGAATAAGCTATGCAAAGTTTCATCCCATTTGGCTTCAGTACTCTGACGTTATGGCGATTTTTTTTTAATTTTGGGTGTCCCAGGTTTTTGGTTCCACTTGGAAATTTGCGAGTTTTTGGTCCGGTTTTGAACCAGCCTGCTCTTAATACCATTCCTCGTGTTCTCTGTAGTATCAGAAAGGGTATTACATTCGGATCTACCGTACTTTATCGACGCAGTGGCCCCACGAGCCATCTCCGACCTTGTACATCAGGTAAACATTGGTTTTAAAAAAAAATCCGATTAGTGATTTATTTCCGGCAAGAAACAACTTAGACTGGTTGTAGCAAACGCAAGATGTAAAACAAACCGATACCGATTTGTTTGAAGTCATTTAATCGACCTTTTAGGTCATTTAAGCTATCGTATACCTTCTACAGTAACCTTCAAAGGCCCTAAAAGTACAGAAAATTATTATCCATGGGAACTTTTTGCTCAGAAAATCAAACTCAGCATGTTAACAAACCTATAGCTGCATCTTATTTCTTGCTTAAATGTTCTATCTGGCGCAGGTGGTTGGTTCAAGGGTAAATGGGTGAAAGCAAGCCTATTTTGGCCTATTTTTCGGAACTTTTTTGTAGAACGAACTTTACAGACCCGATTTATTTTGAAACGGCTAATGATTGTAGCATTACGTTTTCAGGCACGCTGCGTTCAAATTTGCATATCAAATTTTGTGATTCTCGTCCATTCCTCTTGGTAATTCGGGGTATAAAGTGTTACGGTAGCTACTTGTTGAAGATGATATGCCGAGAAAATACTCGAGATCATTGAGCAAGCTACCTTTTTTTCATTAAGTAGATGCACACTGTATAATTTAACAGCATTGGCAAGTTTAATGCCCAAAAAACAGCCTGACTGACATTTTTTTCAGAACCAATCTTTATCTCATGTACAAGGTCGGAGATGGCTCATAGCGCCACTCCGTCGAAAAAGTACGGCAGATACGAATGTAATACCCTTTCTAATACTACAGAGTACAAGATGAATAGTATTAAGAGCAGGTTGGTTCAAAACCGGACCAAAAAACTCGCAAATTTCCACGTGGAACCAAAAACCTGGGACACCCAAAATTTAAAAAAAATCGCCATAACGTCAGAGTACTGAAGCCAAATGGGATGAAACTTTGCATAGCTTATTCTCAAAGGTTGGTTAACACTTGTGTAAAATTTCATGGCATTTGAGAAAAAACCCCCCGAGATAGGATCAAAAAATGGGGTGGAACCAAAAACCTGGGACGCACTGTATAACGCACCCTTCTTATACCCCTCTCTCGATTTTTCGATTTTTTTTTCGACACCGATCGGTGGCGAAAAAAGTTCGGAATGCTGTGTACCTTCGCTTTAGAGCAACTATTACATTAATTTCCCCTAATTTCATCAAAAAATTAGCTTATTTTTTAAAAATTTGAATATTCCTCGTCATATTTTTAATTATTCTCCCAGTTTTCCGTGTTTTTAATCCTAAAGTTCATAATGAACTATTTTTGGGCCTTTTATCAAAGTTTTTGAAAGGGAATTGGCTGGGGTTTTGGGTGATTTCTCTTTGAATTTTCATTGTTTTATGGTTTATTGACTTCTGAATGGGAAAAGAAATTAAAATCGAAGGTAGTTCGATATTTTCAAGTGGTTTTCAGTCGGTCTTGAGCTGTGTTTTGGTTACTCTTTAGATGATTTCTGAACTTTTTTGTCAAAAAATCCTGTTTTTTCGAATATTTTTTTCCGGATCTGGCTCTATTCTAATGAAATAAGCCAATTTCCAAGGACACCCTAGAGTCCCATTCTGTAATTGAATTACTTGTTTTCAAGCCCTCTTTTATATTGTGCATTCCTGCTACTTACGAAATGCGACTTGTTTGTCCTCAAGGACAATTCCGATTAGATGTTTTTTTTTATTTCAACATCGGTTTGGTCGCCAGAACTTTTGGAATTTTGAAATCCATATATTTGACAATTTAAACTCTACTTTGTCCCTGAGTTCTTTCGAAATTCCCGAGGTCCATTCTCAGTTTTTCCTCGATATTAGACCCGACGGACTTTGGAGGGGTGTTATAAGGAGGTTGGAGGAAATGGAAGGGGATCTAATGGGATTTTGAGGCGCTACTTGGAATTTTTGAGGGTTGTAAGAAGGGTTAGAGCTGTAAATGGCTTCTAGATGGATACCTCGTATTTTACACCGCTTAGAAAGGACGAGATTTCGCTGAAAACATTTTGAAGTCTTACGTGATTTCAGCGAACGCCCAGCTTTAAAAAATACTTGGAAAATAGCCTTTCAATTGAATTAAATATCTAACATTAAGATTTGAGCTTGTGTCGTTATGGCCTTGAAAAAATGCGTGTTCGCTAGGAACGTAATGTAAATTTTTTATAAAAATCCACCTTTTCCTAGCTGAACTCAAAAAGTTGCTTCCAATAAACGTGTTTTCTTTGGCCGACTCTCCAAATTCTCCGTGTTCTCTCCCAAAAAATGTCGCTGAGTATATTAGCTGCTCTTGCAAAATTCAATGTAAAAACAATTTGACGTTGATTTGTCGCCTACTAATCCTCCATTTTCACTAAAACTATAGAACTTTATCTATAGGAATTTAAAGCAAAATTTTTTTTTGACTTATCAGCGTTTTTTATCTTGCAACTAGTAAAACAATTTTTTCTTTCAGTTTATTCGTTTGATTTCCCGATAAAACACAAATTTTTTATAAACTTTTACACGTTAACTTTTTTGAAGATCTCGGGAAACCTTTGTGCCCAATGATCCTTCTTCCCAGAGAGTTCGGAAAACAAGGAGACTCGGTACGACGATTATTTTTTTTTTTTGACTACAATTGTTCTGAATTAGCTTAAAAATGATGACTTTTCCTAGAAGCACTGCATTTCCAATACAGAACTAAAAATCTTTGCCAAAAGCGAAAACAGAAGCGGTGGCCATTCCTCGTCGACAAAAATGTTTACTAGAGCTTTTTTTCAGCTGTCTATGTTCTGTGTTTTCAATTTTCTAACGCGTTCATTCAAATTCCACCGGTTTTGTTTACTTATTTCCACTACAACGTTGGAGATGAAAATTATTCATCGGTTTTTTCCGAACAAACTTTAAGCCTTTGGAGGTTTTCTGGATATTTCTGGGGGTGTCTATGCAGATTCTAGCAGTGAATCAGTCTTAAATCTTCTATGGAATTCTATTCTTAAAAAATTGTATAAATTTTTTTCTTATCAATTTTTTGTTTACTCCAAGAAACAACGTTTTTCATGTCCCAGAAAGCTTTTTTTCTAATGTGTAACTCGTTTAAAAACGGCCGCTCCATGGAATTGATGTCGCCGTTGTTTTTTAATTTCCCTAAAAAGACGTCGTTTTCCATTTTCTGCAGTTTTTTTATCTTTTCGTTTGACGCAAATTGTAACATGCCCCGAAAAGATTTTGTTTTTTACTTACTCATTCGGACGGCGTGAGTTGTGAAATTGTACCTTTTATTTCGAAACAATTTACTGTAAAATTATAGAGACGGGATAAAATGCCCGCCTAATTGGGATCAGAGCGGTAATCGGAGGTTCGAAATGGGCAGCAGAACCCGACTGAATCTCGATTTTAATGCCATACAACAAGTGCAACCGCCAGCGTAAGTTTTGAGGGTTTTTTGAAATTTTTTTTGAATTTTTTTTTGAAAATTTTTTGGAAATTTTGAATTGGAGCCCCCAAAAATTTGGCCATTGTGTTCTCAATAGGCCACGTATGAATCTCTAAAAATTTTCGTTCACAATTTATCTTGCAGCATGAAATATTCAACGGTGTTTTTTGCGAGAGAGCACGTGAAAAGAAGAGAGTCGGTCATTCAAAAAAACGTTTTTTAGCGATCCTTTTCTCCGCTCTTGCACCAAAAAAATAAATTTTTTTGCTGAAGGTTTTACACACAATTATAATGAACCTTGATTTTTTCATGTTCAAAATCGAAAGTAAAAATTTAAGATTGTTTCTGCAAAGCGCGAGTTAAAAATTTTGTTTGTGCCTTTCAAAGCTATGGTCTAAATGTCTCCGTAATTTTATCAAAATCTGACGACATTTTTCCAAAGATTTTATAGCATGATTTTGGATAGGGGAAATTTTTTTTCAAAATTTTGAAAATGTTGGAAATTAGAGCTATGACTAGATTACTTGACAATATTTTAGTTGATTGTCTAATTTTTCAGTGAAACCCTCTCCACCACTCCAGGGCAACTTCAATTTTCCCCCGACGTTTCCTGCTCGGTGACTTCGAATGATCTGGTGGAGGAAGCGGTGATTGGACAAGGAAATTATGGGGGGATCGTCACCAGGATGTTCCATCGACAAACTGGAAATGTCATGGCTGTTAAGGTAAGAATTTTCTTTTTTGAAAAAATTTCAAAATTGAATTTTTTTTTAAATTAAAATTTTTTTAAAATAAATTTGAATTTTCAGCGAGTCCGAGCCAATGGAATCAACGCCGACGAGCGCGAGAAAATGCTGAGAGAGCTGAAAATCATCATCGAAGTACAGAATTGCCCAGACATTGTGAGGTTTTATGGCGCACTGTTTCAAGATGTAAGTCAGAAGTGTAAAAAAATGGTAAAATACGAATCCAGTACTGAAACGTTTAAAAATTTTGACTGTTTGCACTAAAAATGATATTTGAATTAAAATTTTTGAAAAAAAATTATATTATACTAGCAATTTTTGGCTACTAATATACGTTTTTTCCCCCCAAAAATGAATTTCCAGGGTGACTGTTGGATTTGCATGGAGCTTTTGGACTGTTCACTTGACAAATTCTACAAAGAAGTCTACAAAAACAACGAGAAACTCCCGGAAAAAGCGGTCGGATTTGTAACGGCGTCGGTGGTTCGTGCCCTCAGCTACTTAAAAAAGGAACTCAATATAATCCATCGTGATGTCAAACCCTCAAATATGCTGTTGGATCGGAAGGGTTACGTCAAGTTGTGTGATTTCGGAATCAGCGGGTATTTGGTGGATTCCATCGCGAAAACTCAAGATGTCGGCTGTCAAATTTATATGGCGGTAAGACAAAGATTTGCGCAAAGTATTCCTGGCGTATTTTACAAAATATTTAGGCTTATTTTTCGATAATTGGTTTTAGAATTTGCTTAGAAAAAAAATTATTTTATAATGATTTTTGATAATAAAAAAATTCAAAGCCGATTTTTCTATTGGTAAATTTGTCCCGTTTTTTGCAAAAAGAACCTTTTTAAAGGTCCTTTAAAAAGGCAAGAAGCGTTTAGAAACAATTATTTGAAATTTACGTATTTTACCATCAGAAATCCCTCGGATATCATCAATCCATCTTTTTTTACCGGTCCTTTTTCGACGGGAGACTATTGACAATGAGGAGAGATGATGATAAAAAATTATGTTTTCACTCTTTGGCTTTTTCCTGGCATTTTTAGTGGTGATTTTCCAATCCATATTTAGCATAAAATTGTATTTTTTCAAGAGAAAAAATAAAAAAAATCGATTTTTTTTTTGTAAATTTCGACCCAAAAAATCTCGCTGACTTCGGCAACGCACAAGTTAAAAATCTCAAATCTTTCATCGGAAATTCTCTCAATTTTAATTTTCTTAATTCTTTTAACTATAAATATAAAAGATTACCCCGTATTTTACCCTCCATTTTTCAGCCCGAACGTCTCTCCGAACGGAAGTATGGGATCCGTTCCGACATCTGGTCTCTGGGCATTTCACTTGTCGAAATTTGCATCGGCCGTTTCCCTTACGTCGGCTGGAATACGGTGTTTGATCAACTGCAGTCTGTTGTGAATGGTGATCCGCCCTATCTTCGAGCGGGCGATTACTCCGTGGATCTCTGCGATTTTGTAAACCAATGGTAAGGAGGGCTGTTTGAGACCAAAATTTGGCCTTTTTTCGAAATTTTCTAAAATTTTTTTGTCAAATTTTGATGAGACTTGGAAAAACATAATTTTTAGACCTCAAAATTTGCAAAAAAGACTTTTTTTGCGATATTCTGGATGATTACTGGAAAGCGCGGGCTACAAAATGAAAAAAAAATCTTTTTAATTATTTTTTTTCCCAAAAAATCAAAAAAATTTTTTTCCAAATTTCAGCCTAATAAAAGACCCTCAACATCGGCCCAATTTCGACGAACTCACGAATCATATCTTCTTCAAAACCCACAACCGCACAGATATCGGCGAACTGGCCCAACAACGCCTCGACTTTGGCGCCTATGTGGAGAAGTTTGTGGAGAACGCGCAGAAATTGTAAAAACCCCAGTACTCTTCGCTAAAAATTGGCTTTGCTCACTTGAACAAGTTCGGACCGATATTATGTATAGTCGCTATAAATATGATAAGATAATAAATTGATTTTTTTTTGATTTTTCGACGAAAAAATTTTGTTTTTGCTTTGTTTAAACCTCGAAATTTTAATCACATTCTAAAATGGTATTTCAAGAAATTCCATTTTTTAAATAATTTATTAAGTCTCAAGGCCATAAAAGATTATCTCGAGTTCGCTTCAAAGAATTTCAACACATTTTGGAATGTGTAATCTTCATGCAAAATTTGCAACAAATCATTCGCCTTGTTCCCCAACGGTAGGCCATTGACTTTGGTCCGGTCGATGAACAAATCCACGATGATTCCCACGATTCGGTCGAAATAAATCGACTTGTCCTCCGCCTCTTCATACAATTTGTCATGATTTAGAAGAATATTAGTTAGTTCAGCGTTCAGATATGAGACATCGCCAAAAGCAGCCTTCAATTCTTTAAGACTACTGGCCAACTCGACTTTTTTGGCCAGCTGCGCTTGATACTCCATTTTTGGATGGATCAGGCGGAGGGTGTGTTCCACACTGCTGTCGTTGAACTCTGAAATGGATGTAGAATATTTCTAGGCATAGTTTTCCAGATGGAGCTAAAAATTTGACGCTGCTTTACCAGAGATTTAATTTTTTGATATACTACAGTGGGGGACCTCATCCAGTGGTAAAAAGCGTACCATTCCGCATCCGGGAAGTGTCAAAAATATGCCAAAATGCTTCCCTCTCCAAGTGAAAAAAACTCCGCTTTCAAAAGCGCGCCAGCTCTTTTTGTGAGGGGAAGGGCCCGCCCTTCAAAACGAAGTTTTTTTTCACTTGAAGAGGGAAGCATTTTGCCACATTCTTTATGCTTCTCGGAAGCAAAACGGTAGGTTTTTTGCCACTGGATCTGGCCTTTCATTGTTTTTGAGATTCTTGGCAGGCTCTTCACTGGTTTTTTTGGTAAGTTTGGCAAATATAAGGCAGTTTTGAGCCGTCTTTGAAGCAACACCTTGATGTCAGCCGTCCAAACTAAAAATCCCTGGAGCCTTAGAACATCTTGATCACAACTTTTGTGCAAAATCTGTCGGCAACATTTACGCTGACTTAAACAACGATTAGTCCTTACCGCACGAAATTTGAACTTTTAGTTGCTTGTTCGTGACCAGTTTGCTGATGACATCGCGAAGAATGATGATTGTTGACAAGTTATCGCTCCGATAAATGGCTTTTCCTTTTCTGTAAAGTTCAACATTTAATATTCCAACGTTCCGCGACCTCATCGCTGACCTCACAAATAATAACCCAACTTATGGCCCGGAGCGTCATGAATGCCTAACGGGTGAGGAATTGCATGCACAAACGTCGTAGACCCCACTAAAGTTATGCGCAATCAACAGCTAATATTTAGGCGGACCAATTGGGCAGTCAAATTTTTATCTGACCAGACCAATAGCGCTGCCCTTTGACTGTTACGATGCCTATTTCATTTTTTGTCCAGACCAATGATGGTCATGCGCAAACGTGCAGGCTGATTAGTCGTTTCGCCTCATAAAGGACACAAAAAAATTACTTGTTGCTCATCTACCGTTTTACTATGCCGAACGCCTTGTCTAACCCAAAGACCACTCGTAGCGATCTCTGAGAAGCTAACGAACCTTGCCGGTTTGGGGTGGCAGAAGCGTGTGATCTTTTAGCATCAAGGGGAGACTCAACAAGCCTAATTGTAAGGAAGGTATTGAGGCTTTCTGAATACAGTTGGGGACCTGATCCAGTGGCAAAAAACTCACCATTTTACATTCAGGGAGTATCAAAAAATGTGGCAAAATACCTCGCTCTCCAAGTGAAAAAAACTCGGGTTTCAAAAGCTTTTTGTGAGGAAAAAGGGCGCGCCCTTCAAAACGAAGCTTTTTCACTTGAAGAGCGATGCGTTTTGCCACATTTTTGATACTTCCAAAATGCAAAATAGTACGTCTTTTGCCACTGGATCTGGCATTTGAATCCCGGCCCAATCTTGAATATGGAGCTATCGCATTCTCATTTACCTAAAACGACAACCTGATAGCTAAACTCCGATTTCCAATTCCAAGTTCACGTCAGTGCCGCCACGTGCTTTGTCCCTATACTCTCCCTGAGACTCCGTGCCAGAAACGATTTCTTAATTCCAAATAAAGTCAGCGCAGTATATCATCATTTCGTATCACAGCCCTCGGTACGTGTCTTAAACTCAGTGCGGCATCTTTAATTTATTCTTTTGAATTCCCTCAAGGCGATCCCCCCAGTTTTACGACGACCCATTGTCATCAAGGGTTTGGGCCAAGCCGGTTTTTTATTTATGGAAGACGAAAGCTCACGCTATTAATAATAATATGTTTCAGGGAAAGTTTTAGGTGTTTTCGGAAATTACGGGGGTGGTGTTGGACGGTGAGTGTTGTTTTGAGGTAAATAAGCGTGAACGTGGGTTAGTATGTAATAGTATTAGCTACAACTATTACAAGGTTTTAAAACGCGTTTTGCCACACTTTGGAGTTTAGCCTAACAGAGGGCGGACATTGTTAAAACCGGTATCTCAGAATTTAACCAAAATCGGTCAACTTGATCATCATGGCAGGTAAAACATTCGCTTTCTTTCTTTTTGCCCAGAATTACCGTATGACGGCATACTGTAACATTTTTTTTAAAAAAAGATATGGCCTAATCAAGAAAACGAAGCTCTATTTTATCACAAATCGAGTTCAGGTGTATGTTTTCGACCATGTAGAACATTTTTGTAATTATGGCCAAAAGCTCAGAATTACGTCTAAGCAATGTTTCGCCTGCAGTAACATACCATTTCGGGCATAAAATTGGCTACTGTAACCAGATGCACTTTTAAATACGGTAAAAAGAAACTTCAACCTTCATCCAATAACCCATAAAAATTTCAAAAAAATCAAATATACAACTTTTGAGAAAATGGGCATTCAATATCTCATGTACAAGGTCATCAGAACGCCGAAAAAGTCTGGCATTCTTGGGATTCCAACGGGATGCACTTTTTCATAGTTTCTAATACATTCTGAGGATGAATAAAGATGATATGGCAAGTTTCAGGAGAAAAAAATATACAACTTTCGAGAAATTGACCAAAATACCTTATTTTAGGTCATCAGAACCCCGAAAAAACTGGCATTTTTGGGATTCCAGGTTGTAGCACTTTTTGATAGCCTCTAATACATTAGTAGCCTTGTAAACGATGATAATGAAAATTTCAGGCGAAAAAATTCACAACTTTCGAGAAAATGACCAAAATACCTTATTTTAGGTCATCAGAACCCCGAAAAAACTGGCATTCTTGGGATTTGAGGTTGTAGCACTCTTTGATAGCCTCTAATCTTTATTCAGCCTCAGAATGTATTCGAAACTCTGAAAAAGTGCATCCCATTGGAATCCCAAGAATGCCAGACTTTTTCGGCGTTCTGATGACCTAAAATAAGGTATTTTGGTCAATTTCTCAAAAGTTGTATATTTTTTTCTCCTGAAACTTGCCATATCATCTTTATTCATCCTCAGAATGTATTCGAAACTCTGAAAAAGTGCATCCCCTTGGAATCCCAAAAATGCCAGTTTTTTCGGGGTTCTGATGACCTAAAATAAGGTATTTTGGTCAATTTCTCAAAAGTTGTATATTTTTTCTCCTGAAACTTGCCATATCATCTTTATTCATCCTCAGAATGTATTAGAAACTCTGAAAAAGTGCATCCCGTTGGAATCCCAAGAATGCCAGACTTTTTCGGCGTTCTGATGACCTAAAATAAGGTATTTTGGTCAATTTCTCGAAAGTTGTATATTTTTTTCTCCTGAAACTTGCCATATCATCTTTATTCAGCATCAGAATGTATTAGAAACTTTGAAAAAGTGCATCCCGTTGGAATCCCATGAATGCCAGATTTTTTCGGGCCCAGATGACCTTGTACATGAGATATTGAATGCCCATTTTCTCAAAAGTTGTATATTTGATTTTTTTGAAATTTTTATGGGTTATTGGATGAAGGTTGAAGTTTCTTTTTACCGTATTTAAAAGTGCATCTGGTTACAGTAGCCAATTTTATGCCCGAAATGGTATGTTACTGCAGGCGAAACATTGCTTAGACGTAATTCTGAGCTTTTGGCCATAATTACAAAAATGTTCTACATGGTCGAAAACATAAAGTGGTGGTTTGGTCTCACTAAAATACCGCACCATATCTGCAGAAAAGGCAACTCTTTTCTCAGAAAGCAAGTTACAGTAATCCACCATATAACGACTATGGGCAAAAAAAAATCAAGCGATTGCTCCATACCGATTGGTGATTCGGTTAACCAATTTTGGTTGAATTCTGAGACATCGACTCAACAATGTCCGGGCCAATCTACGATTTGTAGTAAAACGCGTTTTAAATGGTCTGCTTCTAATTATTGGGGATAATAAAGGTCTTTGTATACAGCCAAAACCTCTGTATAACGAATCCGAAAAAACCAAAAAATAAATTCGCTACGAGAAGGTCTCGTTGTATGGAGGCTTATCTTGGCCTAAACATGACAGGTGAGGCCTGGGAAACCGTTCGTCACAAACATGTTTTTTGTTGTACGGGAGTTTATTGTGCAAAGGTGCCACTGCATTTTTTTGACAGCCTAGGGACGCCATTTTTTTATGACATACGCCTATGTGTATTAGTCACAAACCATCCCTTTTTTTATTATTTCTAATCAATACTTTATTAGGTCAACTCGCACTTCCCGGAAATAACGAATTTCAAATTCCCCTTTCCTCAAGTCAATGTCCAATACCCTCTCACTCAATTAAATAAAATTTCAACTTACGAATAAGTGGCTTGAAGCATGGTACCCCCATTAAAGGTGGATTGAAAATTCAGAGTGACGGTGTCCGTTCCGGGGCAGCGCTCGGGGATCTGCGAAACGCAGGTGACGAGCCACGAATGGGCCTCGTTGATTGAGAAATTGCCCGTGAATGTGAGAACGTTGAGGGGTCGGGTCTCGTCGAAATGGTGGACTCGTTCGTGAAGGGCCAATGGCTTTATTGGATAGGAACGGAGCTGAAATCTGGGGGTTAACGGACTTTTCTCAAATAGCGTGGGTTTAAAGTGCTGGGTTCAGGTGGGTAGGCAAGGAGCTTTGGTTTTTTCGAATGTTTGGAATCTCTTGCCTTTAAATATGCATAAACGTTTGGTATCTTGACTGTGCCTGGAGAGAAACAGTCATAATTTTCTGGCTTTGATAGAGGTTTAGAATAAGATAAAAATTGAAACAAATTCTAAGCGTCGCATTGCATAAACTTATAGTTATGATATTGATAACGCACATCTTTTACATGTTACCTACGGCTTCAAATGTCACTTAAAATATACGTGTATAGTCTGAAAATTCCCGTGGTCACAGATCATTCATCCACATACTATTAATACTAGCTTACAAAATTTTGGTCTATTTCTTCCTTACGTGTAACAATTTAATTTTGAAATTAAAAACTCTTTACACACTTTGTGATTTATTGTGTTCTGCGTAGTCTGTGTTCGGTTTCTGTTTACCAATGAGCAATTGCAGAACCTTGTTCCACATTTTTTATGGCGAAAAGCAAATTTCTTGAGTAAAATGTTTGTCCATAGGATACAATTTGATAGCCAGTCTTCGTATGAGATCATAGCAGACTTCCTGATCATTTGACGTTGTATTTGATAAACAAGCCATACTAGTCTTATCAAGTGCAACGTTACTGTCGGCTTTATTTACTTTTGATGACGAAAAGTCAGGTGTTTAAAACAAGGGAAATGTCATATGTATGATGGTTACAGCGTGTGCAGATTATTCATACATACGTTTTGTTTGCTATGTATCTGAATGAAATCTTGCTAAGCTTTCACTTCAAGTATCTCTAAAGGTCAGGCTTTGCCGAAGTGAAATTTCAGCATATGTCTTACAACGAACTGTTTGGAAACAGCATGCTAATTTTTTGTCCACTATCATCCAATTCTCAGCTAGTTACTTAGAGCATCTCCTTCAGAAGCCGTCTAGTTTTGAGCCCACGGATTCTTTGTCGGGCCTTCTACGTACGTATGAACTTTCTATATTTGCCTTAGAACCTCTATTTTCGTCGAAGCACATCACTAACAAAACGTTGACGTCTCACTGATCAATCGCCACCCTAACTTCCTTCAACCTAACAAAAAGTTGCCTTCTGACGTCTGTAGTCGTATTTGCATAAGTTTTTGTGTCACGTCACTTGGGGCTTAGCATCTGAAAGCCGGCTTCGTCTGTTTGTCGACGGAAATTCCGAACGTGGTTTAGACCACTTTAGGCCTTAAAAAAGGAACCTCGTCTTGAGACGCGGCGGCTTTGCGACTAAAAGCGAAGGCGCTGGAGACGTTTCTTGGAAGGATGATGCGATGATTATACGGTGGGGATAGCTGTGGATAGGGAAGATCAGAGAGATGGGGATGATAACAGATGGAGTTGTGATGGTGAATAACTTTTTGCTAACGGGATACTCTTGGAATATGTGTTTTATTTTAGTCAAGGATCCTATAGAGTGTTTTGCTATTTCTAACGGTGTTCCTGACCGTACTTTAGAGGAGATACATTAAAAATTTGAGAAAAAGGATTGCCTTATTTAGACTTGAAGATCACTTGATCATAGTTTTCTCTCTTTTTTATAAAAATTCTTGGACCGCTTCTTGCATAAATTTGCTGAGAAACGATGATCTTAAATTCAAAGAATTCTTGAGATTTCACTTGCTTCACGATCATACGTTCGAATTCCTCCCAAATCTAGGTATAATTTTTATTTAGAGCCTCTGACCTTTTCTCAGCTTCAATTTGACGTCAAGTCTGTACTTTTCTCTTATTCACCGTTGACACATTCCGCACATATTATATGTTTCAATTCCGCATTGTTCGCGGACCCTGTGATGTTATTGTTGATGTAAATAAGCGGGCAATTTTAAGCTTTAATGGGAATTCTTAATTTCGGAATGACGCAGCGCTCATTGTTTTTGGAGACCATTTGGGTCATCGGATGGGTCATAAAAAGGTCAGCGGTCGTTTGCCTCTACATCAACGGCATGTTTAGAACTTATTTTTAGTTCTAAACATTCTACGTATTGCAATGCTCAATATCCTAAAAATTTTGGAATTTCCGGCTTCTTTTTGCCCACTTATGTCTCTTATGATATCAATAGTAAGATCAAAATATTGATGACTAAATGGGTTTATTTCATTTCGATATTCGGTGGGATAAAAGCTTTTAAGGCCTACTTAGAATCCTTTGGGCTCTTTGCTCTAGGATACGTTGGATATTTCGGATATGATCATCTCCCTCCGACCCATTTTTTTGCAACCATTATTTTAGTATGTTGCAAACAAAACAGTGACAAAAAACGTGTCTTGAGGAAACTTCACCCACTTTCCTGGCTATATTGGGCTTTTCGCTCCTTGATGGGTTGAAATTTCATCGGGTTGACCTAGAGGTGGCAATCGGGCCGGGCCGGGCCGAATTTTGCGGCCCGGCCCGCGGGCCGAAGTGACCAGGCCGGCCCTGGGCTTTTTCAAATTTGCTCAGGCCCGGCCCGGCCCGGCCCGGTGAAAGCCCAGGCCGGCCCGGCCCGGCCCGGCCCTGTTTGGCCCGCTACTGCAAAAAGGTTGGATAAAACTCTATGCACTCTCTGCTGGAACTTTCTATGCCTTCCAGCGGGGTTTTACGTCTATATGAGTGGAATTAAAACGTCTAGTCGGCTGACTGGAATAGCCGAACAGGTACCTAAAACCTAGCCAAAAAGTTGGATTGTGTCGATTTTTTTTATCCTCTAGGAAGTTAGCTATGTGAAAATCTGGACGTTATGAGGCTACATGTTTAATCAAAAACTGCGTAGATGCGTTCATTTACATCAAGGAATCAAATTACAGTGAAATGTTTAAGTTTATCATCAAAAATTCGAAGATTTGCCCGATCCTTGCATATTTGGGTGGGATTTTACATATACATAATCAGTGATTTTAAAGAGTTTGAAAAGGTGGTAAAACAGTATATAAGTCAAAAAGGTTTGATTTAATATCCATCCAACAATTCTGCTAAGCATTCGTGCTTTATTTTGCTGGTTCAGTATTAATTTTTTTTCACTTATCCACCTTCCGGGCCGGGCCGGGCCGAAAGTCTCGGCCCGGCCGACGGGCCGAAGCGGTCAGGCCGGCCCTGGGCTTTTTCAAATCTGCTCAGGCCCGGCCCGATTGCCACCTCTAGGTTGACCTGGTCTTAACCTGTTCAAAACGTTAAAATTGGGTAAAAATAGAAGGTTTAGAGCTATATATAGAGTTGAAAAGAACTCATATGATTTAATAGAAAGTCAGCAAGTCAATTTTTGAGGTCGTGCTTTACGATAGAAGCCAGTCCAGCTAGAAAATGACGGCTGTTTAGGCAAATGAAAGGTCATCTTGTGTCATGCGCTGTAGCTAGAAAACAATTACAAAGCAAGATTTCCAATTTTGTAAATGCCAAAAAAAGTCTAGATAGATCGTAAAAAGTACAGAGCTACTGTACGCGTCACAGCCTAATTTTTTTTATTTCAAAGCCACACCTGGCAACATTATGAACCTTTCATTTTTCTCATCAAAATTATTTGTGTTTCTCAAAATTCTCACTTCTCGAAATCGGTGTGTACCCGTGTGTTCCTTGCTCTCTGTAGTTTGAGTGCACGCGACATGTAGGCAAAAAGAAACGTGTTGAACTATGATTCGTTTGTCGTTATGACATTCCATTTGCGGGCCCAGGAACTCCCACACTTTTGAAAACAAGGGGTTTTTATAAAATACGGAAACGCTTGTATAGGATCTTGTTGCTCAAAAAGACAAATTTAGAAAAGATTTATTTAGTCTAGTACAATATTGAGGGAGGTGAACTTAGAGAAAGCAGACGTCAGCCGAGTTTCGACTTCCACGCTGTTTTTAGTTCATTTCCGGTTTGTGTAGAAGATTTATTGCAAAATACCGAGCTTAGACATCACGCCACAAAGCTGAGTCTGCCAGAACTTGTCATTATATCTTTGCCAATATTGTACCCAATTTTCTGCCTTATATTTAGAATATGGCGTGAATAAGGTATATCGCGATTACACAGCTGTAGCAAATTTTAAATTTTGGAGAAAATCTTTGCAGGGTACAAAATGTGTGGAAATGAGCAGTCTGGATGGAGGATATACCTGCTGGCATTGTTATTGATCGCATTCTTCGCACAGCTGACCGAATCAACGCCCATCATGTTCAATATGCTAACGAAAAGAGGCGACACGACGGGGATACGGAATGAAATGATTGTAAGTCTTCTTACTCAAGTTTGGGATGTCTAAGATTTGTGTGGGGCAATATTGAAGGCAAAAAAAAGTGTAGAAAGCTAAAATTTGGCCAGTTTTTCGATTTTTTGATCATATTAGTCTGTCGGAAAAATAATGTGGACTCGTCGCACCCTAATCGCTTTGCAATTTCCGCGACTGGAGATTTGGTGGGCGATTGCGGCGAGGACGGATATTTTGCTGCGACAAATCCACATAATTTTCCCGACAATGAGATAGTAAAAAACGTATAGCCAAAAATTTAGCTCGTTTTTTGCAAATTCAGCGAAAGATTTCTAGGTTCCTTTTTGCGATTGTCGGTCAGAAATACATGTATCTTTTGACTGCCTCTGATTCTTTCCAGGACTTCTACTCAAAACGTTCCCTCGACTTTTGCGGCTGTAATATGGGATGCTTCTACCAATCCGCTTCTCAATGCGCGTCCTGCTGCGCATTGGGCATATAAACGAAACGGAAAAAAAACCGATGATCTCGTCAGGAAAACCAGTGTGGAATAACATTCGACAGTCAATACAATAACAAACTTTTACAAACTTGCTTATTTAATTACGGTATTTTAAATAAATGTCAAGTATTTCGGCTGGGATTTGCCTTTTAAAAGAGCTTTTAAAAACCGGTGTTGCGCTACGAATATGTGCATAAGAGTTAAATATGGCCTACCTGACAAGTTTTGAGTTGTAATCGAGGGACAATGTACATCTTCAAAGTGCCGAATTGACCTTCGATGCTACGAATCCGCATCTCCATTCGAGTGATGTCGGCCTGGCAACGGTACACGGCCAAGAGTTGATTTCCGTTCTGAAACTCGTAAATTTTTTATGAAAATTTAACGATTTCCGGTGAAGGGTTTATGTAAATTTTAAGCAAGAACTTCCGCTTATTTTGCCGAAAGTGCCGATTTTTTGGTGAAATTAAAGAAGCGGGTTTGCAAGGCGCCTTTTCTGCGAGGTAATGCAATTCACAGCAACATTTCTTACTTGTGGATCAGGTGGGGTAACCGAGATCACGGCCGAATTCTTCTCCACATCCATCAATTCCACATTTACATCGCTCTGAAAAAATCTTTTCTTTGGCGTAATTAATATTGTAAAATACGTTATGCGTGTCTATGGTTTTAAAATTTACCGTTTTAGGAAGCTCTTACCTGCAAGAAAACGTATTCAATGGGAACAGCCAGTTCGATAGTCAGAGTATAACATGCCAGGTCCTTATTCAAGGTGAATCGATCATTGACATGGAAGTGTGGAGTAGTGTCGATATATGTTCCCATTTCTTTGTTTTCACTGTTTCCTTTGACCACCATCTCGTGGTATTTCTCTCGTTCTTCCTTTACTTTCAACTCGAGTTGGTCGAGTTCGCTTCTGCAAAAGAATGTAAAATACGCCATGTGACTTTTATCTTTTTTTGCAAGTTTCATAAGTTCCAAAATATAAAAAATCTTGTTTTTTCAACATATTGTCCTATAGCATCATGCCAGCCAAATCACTATAAATGACTATAGCGTCATAGAAAGCACTATTTTCGTTAGCTTACTGCATTTTCTGCACTTTCACTTGCAACGACGGTGTGTTGTCAACACTGGTCTTTTTGGTCGGAGCTTCCGGTTTATACTGCTCTGTACTCAGCCCAAATACCCAGCCAGTGTAAGTGCAGACAATAATCTCATCATAATTTCCATCTTCCACTCGAATGCATTCTAACGCAGTGATTGATTCATCGCAATTCTAAAATAAAATATGTATCTTATACATGTGTGTAAAGCTGTCTTATATTTTTCAGCTTATCAAACTTTAAAGCTCACATAATTCTGTCTGAAGGTGGCTTTATCTGCATCATCAACAGTGTAGATGTCAATAACACCATCCTCTTTCCCCACAACAATATCTGGATGGGTATTCTCAGTCAGCCGATGACAATAAATTGCACTTATTGCGGCAGAACTGGAAGTTGCAATCTCCCATAAAATTCGACCGGATTTTTCACCAAGATCCAGCAAACCTAGACGGCCATTTTTCGTGCCATAAAGAATCTTTTGCTTCGTAAATCCACCATCATTCATGAAAAGGTGCATCGTGGATGGAATATCTCCCAAAATCACTTCGTATTGGAGTTTCAGGTTTTGAAGAACCTAGAGTTTATTTGAACACGACGTTTATCTGGGACGTATTTTACCTTGATAGTCTTGTCTTCACACGCAACCAACGGAGTCACTCCGCGGCCAACCCAACCACCTTCCACACTGGGAAGGCAGATAATGTCAGTGATTTTGTCGGTGCACATGTAGTTCTGAAAAAGTTTTGGATCAACTTGTTGTGACATATTATGCGCTCATATAGAACAATTTGCCGACAGAATTATTTCATCTTGATTAGACTTGGCACTAACTTAAAATATATTTTTTAAATCCCTTGAGTTTTCTAGAATGTTTTTAACTAAATGTCGTTAAGAAACCTAAAAAAATCATTTCTTCTCTTGCGGAGCTGGAGAAGACACGGCAAAAAAATGCTTTTTTTTCTCACCGCCCTCCGCGTTTGGCGTGCTCTCTTGGCTGCAAAGACCGTTAACTGTCTCTGCTGTCTTTGCAAAGCGAGAGCTACAATTTTCAGGGATTGATATGTGGCCTATGTCCGAAATGTGCGCAAAGTTTAGAGAAGATCGGAGTATCGCAGTTTTGGTTACTTATCTTGCAAGCCAAAAACAAACAAAAAATTGACCAAATTTTTAGAAACGTATTTTACCTTTTTTACCGCCTGAAAAACAAACTTACCAGCACTCAGTCCACAAATCACGTCTACTAGGCTTTGCATAGTAAAAGCTTTTTTTTAACTCCTGATACGAAGCTTTTGTCAGGTGCAATTACCTAATATATGACTGCTTTGTAGTCCTACGAATTTTCTAATAAAGTTTTTTTATGATACAGTTGTCAAATCCTCTTCTATTCCACTTACCGCTTTTTCTTCGCAATCATGGTACTGATACACTGTGTTCCTACCAGCCAGAAACAAGTCAACTCCATAAACGTACCTGAAATTGAACTCTTTTGTAAAATTCTTTCTTCACTAGTAGGTCTAGTCGTTGCAACTTACATCGACGAAATAGTTTCCGCCATATTGCTTTCGAATGACAAAAACTGTTTTCCTTTTTTCGAATACCCTCTCACCGTTTCGCCAGCTGCTGCGAAAGTTTTGTCTTGGATTGTGTGCAGAGCTCCGCCGAGGCGGACGAAACTTATTGGAGGGCCTGGGTTTGTTTTGAAAACGATCTGGAAAAGGATGTTGATGGTAAAATACGGAAGCAGGTAAATTTCTTATTCAAAACCTACTTTCGTTTCATCTGCTTTTCGCTCCAAACACAGTAAAATTCCGCTGTTTGCGCCAACCACAATCTGAAAATGAATAGTTTTCTTGCATCTATTTCACTGCTTTTACTTTTTTATTGCATTGCGTATAATAATTATGTAATATAACTCATTGTGACGTATTTTACCGTATAACCAAACAGACTGTTTAGTTAAAAACCACATTTACCCTGTATTTTGGCTGTTGCGCTTTCTTCTTCGGTGTGACATTTCCACTTTTCTCTGAATGTATCAGTCTCATACATCCTCGATTGGTTGTTCCGACCTGAGCATAATCCACTCGATAGAACTTGACATTTACCAGCATTTTTACTGAAAATTGACATCACTTATTAAGACTTTTTGGGGAGCAAAGAGAGAAATAAAATATTGAAAACATACTACAACAATAGTAAATACATAAAGTTTTGAAGACTTTTTCTAACTGTTTTGCGTTTGAAAATAAGATCCATAAAAGTTTCTGCTAGAGAGTGCAAAAAATGATGAGAATTGGTCAGACAAAAGACATTTTTTGCTTGGTCCTTCCTTCTTGGATAAAATGTTTCTTTTGAAGACATTACACGACTGTTTATTCAAGAAAGAAACTTGAAATAATACTGCCTAAAAAAATTCATTTTTTTGATTTTAAAAAATCGATAATTTCGCACAACCGAAGCTGTCGTCTTGGCATTTAAAAAAATATATTTTTGTCCACTAATTTTTTGTAAAATACGCCACAAATACATTAGACTGAATGTATGTGCATGATCAATTACCTCTTCCAAATATTATGCCTGTAAATTACGAATAAAGAATGAATTTTTATCATCCAATTTCCCCCCTTCCTCACAAATGGGCGTGATGGGGGGTTTTTCGGATTGAGTATTTCTCCGTGAAAACAAACTATTTATTTTTCGCATTTTCCTGAAGCCGAAGCGAGGGCGTTCTGGGTGGTCCCAAGGCCGGGCACTCTTCGTTTTCGCACTGTTTTTAATGTGAGAAAGAAGAAGAGCTTTCGAACTGTTTTTATTAATATTTTTTCGGGGTCAGTCTGCGTTATTTTTAGATTGAAAATTTGTTGGGAAAAGTTTGAGAATTTTACAAGTTCTTCGAAATTGAAAAATTTTTATTTTTTTCCCCGGCTAAAAAATCTGAAAGACAAAACCGTCCTAGTTTTGATACCAACATATAGCCATTTTGATCTAGAATTCTCAGAAAACAAGATTTTTTAAAAAGTTTTTGAGATGTGAACTTTAATAAGCTGTATCCCAAAATTCTATAGGTGTTTTTATCTCGGAGCTTTCTCAAATTTGACAGACTTTGCAGCACATCAATTCATGAAAATTTTTATTCGCGCTTTGCGAGACCAGCAGAAAAAAATAGAAGATTAGGCAAGACAAAGAGCGTTTTCGGAAATTATACTTTTGAACTTTGCTTGTGACTAAATAATTTTTTGGCAGAAGCATTGCTGTATTTATATAGCATAACATGTTTATGCATAACAGAACTTCTCGAACTTCCCTCAAGTTTCATAAAAATCAAGATTTTTTCTTCTTTTCTTGGAACGCTTATACCACTATACAAACCAGAAATTGGATCGTAATTTTCCACTCTCTCTTGTTAATCAAAAAAGCAATGATCTACTGTAGTCAACAAAATCACGTCACTTTTTTCATCAACTCCCAAAACAGAGCCGTTCTTCTTCTCATTATTTCCCCCACAGTAGCCCGTCTTTTTCCCCGCTTGCACTTTTATTTCGCTCTATTGAAAAAGTGCCATCTATTACGCTCCTTTTGTTTTCCAATTCTTCAAAACTCCGACGAATGTTTCAAATCAATTTTTTCCCGCTTCAAGCAATCAAAGTGATAAATCGGTAACGTTGATGATTAGAGACCAAACGTGAGTTCAAACGCTTTGCTCACTTTTTTAATTACTTTACCACCCTCATCTTTATAATTACTATAGTGATTAATGGCTAGTTGTTTATATCGTGAGGTTGCAGAAAATGTAAAGCCACATTTATTACGTGATTCGCTGCAAAGTTAGAGAATTAATGATTAGTTTTTTTTGCAATTTGATAGTTTGATTGAAAAACATGTTTCTGGCAAGAGGAAGGCATGAAAAATTAGGAAAATCATTTTAAAAACATTCGTAAGAAAATTGGACAAAAATATGTATTTGTTACATAAGCTATCAGAGGTCACACAAATGAAGCTGGGAGACTTAACGTGCAGCTGACAATTTGAAGAAACTACGCGCAAATTGAAAGTAACGCTGTGGAGAGCTAATAAAAGGTTATTATCATCTGGTGTGCTTCAGACATTACCAGGAAAAAGTTAAAGAGAATATACCGATTTTTGGGCTGAGAAAAACAAATCTTTGTTTGGTTGAATCTGCTTCTTTTTCATAATTTTTTGCAGAGAGATCTTTGAATAATGCGCTGTGTGAATATGAGTTCTAGAAATGTATTGCTGATATACGCCAACTTTGTAGGAAATCGATAAATTTCGCATTTTAGCATATTAGGCAAAAAATGGGACTGTAAGTACAATAAAAATTGCAATTTTCATATCAAAAAGATCTTTGGGGCTTTCGGATGCAGCTTCCCGCGACTATGTAGTTCCTCTATTTCTTATGTTCTCGACATTTTATCGAGAATCTTGCAGGACAAAATTTCAGAAACCGGCCGTTTAATCATCAAATATACAATTTTTCCGTCTTTGCTACTTTTTACCTTTTCGAATAATTTCTTACAAAATCTCATCAAAATTACCAGCCGCTAATCACATGGCCTCATCAATCTCACACATTCCCACCCCGCAACCATACACACAAGATTTGCCCGCCAAGACGTTTTTTGTGCGGAGATTAGGGCCCTTCACGGTGGTCCCATATCCCGGCTTTATTACGCACAAAAAACGGCATATTACCGGGGCCGAAAGTAATTTTTATTAACATCTTAAAGACATCAAGGATTTCCGTGCCGGATTCTCGTTTCGGGGTATTAAAAATGCCCGCCGAAGAGAGGCAGGATTACCTTGGGAGGTCCTCCCTTGGATGTGTGTTCTCCCTCCAATTTCTTCGTCGGAGATTTTGTTCGAGCGTTTTAAGCCGCTTTCAGATGTTTTCAATGTCATCGGGAGTACTGTCGGATACAGGGAACTAGGAGATCAGTTTATGGGAGGTGCGATGAATTATAGGGGTCGAATTTGGCATTTCGAGAACCCGGAGGTGAACATTTGGTATTTAGATGGAGTAGTTAATTCCCTCCCTCAACTTTTAATCATCGCTCCGTGTTGTGTATTATACTCCCCGCCAAAAGTTTTGACCCCCCTTCTAACTCGGTCCAAAGTGTACCAATTTGGACCAAATTTGGTACGTAGTCTAGTGACAGCCTAGTAATAAAAAATATTATAGTAGGAGAAACCATATAGCTGTATTTCAAAATCCAGGGACAATTTTCAAAAATTACCTCAAAAAAACGGGACAAAAGTTTTGACCCCCCTGCAAAAAAATTAAATATCGCCACCGGATGTAGCCCGAACCTTTTACAATCGATGCCCCATACCTGAATACAGATTGATAAATGCTTTTTCGTTGAATGCTTCGTTGCATTTGAGGATGCAACGCGTTAAACTGATTTTGATGTAGAGCTGCCCAAAACAGTAAAAATCTTGTACTGGCGCTTTCTAAAAGTTCTAAATTATGTTCACATCATGTGATCTTGACGTGTTATAACCTGCATTAACCTTTTCCTTTCGAAAAAAGTCCATGATGGCCAAGCGGTATCGATTCGGCCGATATCCAGTTGTCATGGTCAGCCTTGGTGAGCCTTTTGCTCTTTCACTAAAGGTCTAGATGTGGTCGCTAGTTCCTCAATCTAATCCTGAGACTCCTATTTACTCTCAGCGGGGTAAAAAGTTTCGATTTGACGCGTTTTGGAATGGGTTTCATTCACCTTAATCTTAAGTTTGCCGTTACTGTAGATGCCCCCGAGTACGATGCCATCCCCACCGCCCATTTGGCGTTCCATACGTCTCAAATGAGTGTGGCGGGTGCTGTAGCGTCCTAAATTACCTGGCCCATCAAATGAAAGCCGTTTATGGTCGCAAAAAATCCATTTGAAAAACGCGGGTTTTTCTTTAAGGTGCAGATCGGTAAAGTTGCATCTACAAACCATTTGGGATCGTGTCAGCGGGGGTTTATTCTTGTTTTGAGAGTAGACACAAGTCTCAGGATTAGATTGAGGACCTAGCGACCCCATCTAGACCTTTAGTCAAAGAGCAAATGGCTCAACAAGGCTGACCATGACAACTGGATATCGGCCGAATCGATACTGCTAGGCCATCATGGACTTTTTTCGAAAGGAAAAGGTTAATGCAGGTTATAACACGTCAAGATCACATGATCTGAACATAATTTAGAACTTTTAGAAAGCGCCAGTACAAGATTTTTACCGTTTTGGGCAGCTCTACATTAAAATCAGTTTAACGCGTTGCATCCTCAAATGCAACGAAGCATTCAACGAAAAAGCATTTATCAATCTGTATTCAGGTATGGGGCATCGATTGTAAAAGGTTCGGGCTACATCCGGTGGCGATATTTAATTTTTTTGCAGGGGGGTCAAAACTTTTGTCCCGTTTTTTTGAGGTGATTTTTGAAAATTGTCCCTGGATTTTGAAATACAGCTATATGGTTTCTCCTACTATGATATTTTTTATTACTAGGCTGTCACTAGACTACGTACCAAATTTGGTCCAAATTGGTACACTTTGGACCGAGTTAGAAGGGGGGTCAAAACTTTTGGCGGGGAGTATACGTATAACTTGTGGGTTCAACATAATTTTTTGCAGTTTTTTAGGGTGAACAATTAGTCATTTCAGGTTAAAAAATTGGTATTTTGTCATCAAAATGACAAGGAAAAATTTAAGCATTCAATGTATAGATTTTGATGTAATTTTGCGCAATTTAAAGCCGAAATTATACAGAATACGCTGATTTTGCATAAAGACGATTTCTCACACCTCTCTTCATACTTTAAATTTTTAATCAACAAAATTGATAAGAAGCGTATTTGTAAGCTTCGTTTGGATTCCGTAGTCATTCAAACATTTGATTTTTATAGCTATTGTTAACAAACCTTCTTAAACCTTCCGAAAAATAGATAGAGCTTAATTTGAAGCCCCTTCTTGGCCTTCTAAACTTACAAAATGTTTATTGCTCGTCATCCATAACCAATTTCTTCCGTAACTCACCCCTTTCGCACCACCAACGTAGCCCATTAGACGGAACATTAACGATCTACCCCCCATCACGTTGATCCCCCCT